GCTGTTTCAACAAATCAGTTAGTGCTACTGCGCACGAAACCAAAATCAATTAAGCGATCATAAATTAACCTGTTTCTGACTGTCATGTCACCCACATGTAGCAACGTACTTTTTTGTCTAATTCATTGATCAATAACTTTAATCTAGCACAAATCTGTCTATAAGGCTTATAAATGCACACTTCATTATGGCATAAAATTATTGGTATTATTATCCATAAAAAAAGAAATTAAATCGAAATGTGAAGGTTAAAAAAATTTTTTAATGAGAATTAAAAATGGCACTAAATTGAATTTCTTTGCATAAGTTTTTTTTGACATTTTCACTTTATGTTCGTGCTCGTGTTCTTAAATTGCACACAAAATACAGCAACGAAATAAATTTTGAAACTCGATTGCCACTTTTTATGTCCACACAAGTAGTATTTACTTTGCGGATTGTGGTTGATGATGTCATTGCTCTTTTTTTCGCACAAAGGAAAAATATCTTGTTGTCATCAAGAGACCAGTAAGTGTAGTATCCGGGCTGCAAACGACTAGCAATTAAATTTTGTAAGAGAAAATTTAACAGTTATAGAAAATTCAAATTTCAACAGTGACAAAATATTCAAAATTTCCATAACGTGAAGTTAGCTTCAAATGTTATAATTTTCAAACAAAAAAACCGTTAAAAATTAAAAACTTCAAAATCAAATGTGCCAGAAAAAAGCAGTTAATTAGAGCAGCATCAACGACTAATTCACAACCATAAACATATCCCACTCGGGAGCAAGATGATAAAACAAGAAGAAAACGTAAAGAAAAATATTAAAAATGCAAATCAAGTTTCGTGTTTCTTATTTTTTGTGCTGAAAAAATTAACATATACAGTAGCGCTCAAAATGATAAGGACAGCAACATTTTTTTCAAATTTTTATTAATTTTGACTCACAGGATTATCTAAATTTGCTGAAATTTGGACCAGTTATACAGTTTTAAATGTCCTTTCATACAATATATACTAATTGTACTTTAATTAAATATTTTTGAAAAAAACGGTAAAAAATCAAAATGGCTGCCGCTCAAAATGATAAGGACAGTAGATTATGTTAAGATTTTATTATATTAAGTAATATTATGGAACTTTTAAGACTTAAAACATTATGTTTGATGAATATTCTTTAAATAAATTCATAATTCACGCTTCTAGATGTAAGACTTCTTACTTAATTTTAGTGTTTAAAAATATGTGAAAATTTTGTCAATTTATGATAAATTGTCGTACAGAAACTTGTTTATTCTTTAGGTTAACTACCAAAAATTATAGATAATTTGATTATTTATCAATTTATGATCAAACATTTAGATAACTGTTAATTAATGTAAATTTTTTTCAAAAATTTTATTTTTCCTTTGCGAAATTTTTGTGAACTTAAGTCGACAATTTGAAAAAAAATTGTTAAATATTCGCAAAACAATGCTTAAATTAGTATATTTCTCTTCCATTTTAATTGTTTAATAACATATATCAAGCAATTGAACCACTTCGAAAGGATAAATGACTAAGCAATCGTTCTCTTTCAACAACAAGACTTTTTGATATGGCAAACATGAAAAATTTGTTGAAACCTAAAAAAATATGATTTACATAAGTGAAGTTTTAACATAAAATAATTAAATTTGGCTTTTTTAATCGAATAACACTTTTTTTTTGTATTCTATGCGTGCTAAATTTAACATTTTTACAAAAAAATATTTCTTCATATTTTTTCACCTTGAGAAGCTCATAGAGAACGATTGCTTAGTCACTTTATCCTTTCGAAGCGGTTCAATTGCTTAATATATGTTATTAAACAATTAAAATGGAAGAGAAATATACTAATTTAAGCATTGTTTTGCGAATATTTAACAATTTTTTTTCAAATTGTCGACTTAAGTTCACAAAAATTTCGCAAAGGAAAAATAAAATTTTTGAAAAAAATTTACATTAATTAGCAGTTATCTAAATGTTTGATCATAAATTGATAAATAATCAAATTATCTATAATTTTTGGTAGTTAACCTAAAGAATAAACAAGTTTCTGTACGACAATTTATCATAAATTGACAAAATTTTCACATATTTTTAAACACTAAAATTAAGTAAGAAGTCTTACATCTAGAAGCGTGAATTATAAATTTATTTAAAGAATATTCATCAAACATAATGTTTTAAGTCTTAAAAGTTCCATAATATTACTTAATATAATAAAATCTTAACATAATCTACTGTCCTTATCATTTTGAGCGGCAGCCATTTTGATTTTTTACCGTTTTTTTCAAAAATATTTAATTAAAGTACAATTAGTATATATTGTATGAAAGGACATTTAAAACTGTATAACTGGTCCAAATTTCAGCAAATTTAGATAATCCTGTGCGTCAAAATTAATAAAAATGTGAAAAAAATTTTGCTGTCCTTATCATTTTGAGCGCTACTGTATTTTAGACGGTACACGATCAGTATGTAGGAATGATGAAAACCTCAATGCAAAAAAAAACACATTTTTAACTTCTTCTTATGCTGCATCCCCGAGGCTAAGCGGCAATTGGTGAATTTATTATAATAAAAAAAATTAAGAGCATCCACGACTATCATTTAGGGCAATTTTTTGATCCATTTTGATAAAATATCGCTTTAAACTGGTTCTAACAGTCATCGATAAAATCGACTTCGATTTATTTGAACGAGACTAAAAGCGAAAACTAAACGGCCTTGGTCAGAATTTTGAATTCTGATTGCTTATTCTCGTACGAGCCTTCGACGACCTTTTATGGATAAAAGATTTTATTTTTTTTTTGTGTCTGTATTCATAAAGAATTGTAAAGAGAATCATTTTATAGAACAAAATGATGAAAACGAAGACGACGTGACTGTAGCTTTATGTGCAATTAATCAATTTTCGTTTCACTTTTTATGACACAGTTGATTTAATATTATTAATGTGTATGATTTCAATTTTCATGTCAATTTGTGCTTTCATTCTGACTTCTACAATTGGAAATGTCCTTGTGGATTCATTTTGACTTGCTGACTGTCTGGATGAATAAAATAAGTGGTGATTCTCGCAGAAATGAGAATCTGAGTTTTTAGAATTACTGGTTTGAGGCTTTACAGTTGGAACTTTATGGTTTATTCATTTATATGCTGATTATTGCTATGGAATGGATGAATTTCTAAGAAATCAACGGTTGTTTCCCAGAAATGTTTAGAACTTTGAAAAACGATGACAATTTTGAATTTTTGAAAAACGTTGAACTTTTTGAAAACTGTTTAAAAATTTGAATTTTTGTAAAAAAATTTGAATTTTTTAAAAATATAATTTTTTGAATTTTTGAAACCCGTTACATTTTTAAATATTTAAAACCCGTTAAAATTTTTTTTTACTTCTTTAATTAAAATTCAACTTTCTTCAATAATTAATTGAGTGTGTCAGTCAGGTTCCTGTTCTATCCACAGCAAAAGCGTTTCAGTCTTCCGTTCAATTCAGTAACGAAGTCAAGAATGCTACTTTTCATGTCACATTGAGCATTAAATTTTATATTTTATGATGATGATTCAAGTCACACTTTAATCACTTCAATCGACTTGTACTACTTACATATAGAGAATAGTCGATTAGTACCGTCAAGTATTGGTTAAATATTGACTTATTTAGATGGGAAAGTAAATGACACGACATGAACATGTTGAAAAATAAAGTTTGAAGAACCAAAAACCGAACACTTGTCGCTGTTAAAATCATTTTCATCAATTAGTTAAGAAAATATTTTACTTTTTCAATTTTTCTGTCGTGTCTCATGTGGAGGAATTAAATGAGTAGGTTTTCTGTCAAACACACAAGCCAAAAATAAAGTGTTTATACTTAATTCATATATGGAGTATTTGCGAGAGAATTCAGAGTGTAAAACAGATGGTTGAATTGCGATCGATCGCGAAATAAGAACAGTTTGTTGTTGCGAAATAAATTAATGTGAATGATAATCGGAACATGATTTGCAGTCAAGGAACTTGAAATTGACAGTTTTTTTTTTGGTGATTTTGAGTTTTTAAGGAGGATTAATTGATGTTTGAATTGAAAAATGATTTGAGATTGGAATGTAAATTTGATTTTCTTAAATTTAATTTCATTCTTTTGGGACTAACGTTGGCACTAAGTTGAATCCTATTAAGACTTGAATTTATCAGGTTGTTTATTGTTCGGAGTTCGTGAACAGATTGAATATTTGTATGAAAAGGGGCAAACAACTATGTTACAATAAATATTATTTAAATCTCAAATGAACGTTATGACAATAAAGAGCTGGATCCAACTGATTTTTGATCGATCTTGGTCCGAATAATTCGTTTTGATCAACTGAGTTCATGAAATACTTCAAATTCAATTACATTTCCTCACAACTGAGTAAAATCTAGCCAGAAAAATTTCAAAACTTCATTCGATCATTTTAGAGGGGAGGGGGGAGGGGGTGCGAATTGTCACATATTATAACAGGGGGGGGGGGGGGGGGGGAAGGGGGTGTGAAAAAAGTCTTTTTTTTGCGTAACGTAATCAGTGAACGCAGGGGCGTAGCCAGAAAATTTTTAAGGGGGGGGGGCCCATTTTCGAAAATTAAAAAACCGTTATTTTGTATCCTTAAATCTATATACATTCTTCATAAGTTTAAATATTTTCGTAGGGGGGGGGGCCGGGCCCTTTATGGCCCCCCCTGGCTACGCCCCTGAGTGAACGGCCCCATATGAATCTCCTCAAAATTAAAAATCTCTACATTCATCCAAAAATCCCAATTCCTCATCACCCAGACATCGCCAATTTCCTTGAGAAGAAAACGATCTTGAGCTTATTAAAGCTGCGAGATAAATCTTCACTTCAACATTTTACTGAAGGACATATTAAGACAGTAATAATAAAAATTTCCGAGAGAGTAATGTGACTTTATATAGTAAATATAGTAAAAATTATGAGCGAAGATAAAACTTACATAATCGTACAAAACTATACTCGAGTATTGGTAACAATTGAATAAGTAGCCTAGCTGTTACAGTTTTTTTGTTGTTTCTTTCTTTAAATCACTGATTTTTCTTGCAATTTTTCACACACAAATTCTAAATTCAAGAACTGATTTCTCTTGTTTCTTAAAAATTCTCAATACACCTGATTGATATTCAAGCACACTCGAAATCTTTTCTTATTTGCCTTTTTTGAAATATTTCAATATTTTTTGTTTTCTATTAAATCTCTCGAATTTAAATTCAAATTCTTTTCAACAAGCACTGCGGATTTGTGCTTACTTACTCAAGTAAGGTCTCAAGAAGAACTGAGTGTATGATGAATTGAGGCTGTTTACTGAACATTTGAAACGATTGTGAAAATGAAACGTTAAGCTTTTGGAATGAATTTGAAATTGTTACTTGATGGTCCATAGATATGTCTAATGCCCATTAGTTCTAATATTTCGAATTGTGTAGAAAGATACAGAAGTTTTGGGTCTGAATATGAATTTAAGGAACCAATGAGATCCAGCTGAATGTAAAAGATCCAGTTACATCCAAAAACACAGTTAGCTTGACAAATAAGCACTCAGGGCAAGCAGAATCTTGATCCAGTAACAACTAGCACCAGCAGTGAAACATCCAGAACACATTCATACCATCAAAAAGCATCACCTAATCATCAAATATAATTTGTTTTATTAATTAAGAAAATATAGAAATAATAAAAAAGCAGAAGCAGCACATCCTTAATACTTCTTCAGTGCCTTTCTTATCAATGCTTGTCGTTGTTTATGCGCTTCCGTCACAGTTGTTCTCTTGTATGGTCTCAATTCTTCAGTTCCGAATCCAGGTATCCATAAATTCCAGTTTCGTTCAAGATAAAGCTGAACATCCTTAATTTCTACCTTGTTCTCTCGATTTGGTTGTCCGTTTTGTATACGATGCTTAGCTAATAGACATGATCCATTTATTACATTCTCCACAAACTCATCAGCTATTTGTAACAGACAGTCTTCTACCTCTTCGTCGAGCTGCTCATTTGGATCCACTTCCCTGACTAGCTCTTGCAGTCTTGGCTTTGTTAATAGCTACAACACAAGAAAACAAATTTCACTGTAAGTTTGGGAAAATCTTAATTTTTGGAAATACATATTCTACATACCATTGCCGCATTCTCGGCTGTTGTTTTGCCTTGACTCGCATTAGTGGACATGGATGGTGAGCTTTGTGATGGAGAAACATAATCATTTAAATCTGAATCCATGACTTAATTTTATTTATTTTTTTATTTTCAAATTTGATTGTTTTTCGACTATTTGAATAAATTATCTACTTCAAAACGCCTTAATTCGTCTATGTATCTATACTGCATACACTTATGCTATCAATCTTATCACTAAAATGGACTTTTATGCCTTAATTTACTTAAAATTTAATAAAAATAGTTTCGATAAAAATTTCAATTGTTTTTGAGGGTCAAGCAACTTTTTCTACTTTTGATTTCATGAGGGCTTGCGACTATTCTGAGCAAATCTAAACTTCCAGGTGAATTTGTGTTTTTTTGTGACCAGCACGGAAGTTCAGAAGAGCCTCAAAAATTAACGAATTTTTGCGAAATAAATCGTTTAGAGAATTATTAATAAAATTAAGTGAAATTGATCAATTTATTTACTAAGTCAATGCGTACAAAGACAGACAATTAAATTGTTACTAGAAAAGTATAGAGTATATAGGCATACAAAGATGGCACTAGAGAATGTTAGAGTTGAAGATTTTATTGAATATTTCTTATTTCCTGAGATTAATGCAAGTGCACAAGACAATGAGGCAGAAGTATTGAATGACATCCAGCAGAGAATCGATGAGATATCAAAGTCATTCATCAAGAACTATATATGGCACAAGGATCCATTCAATTTAAAAATAAGGAATCAAAATTCAAGTTTATTAAACAATAATAATGGTAAGTAACACTGAATCATCAGGTATGACTCATATCCTTAATTGACTACTTCTTTTATAGAGCAATTACCTTCGCATTTATATGGAATCTCCCACTTTGGTGATAATATTCAGGATGAATGGTTTATAATGTCCTTACTCTTCCACATATCAAAGGAAGTTCCATCAGTGATTATTCGTGTGTGTGATGCCGATGGTGAATTTATGCTGATTGAAGCAGCCGATTATCTTCCTAACTGGGCGAATCCTGAATCTTGCGAGCAAAGAGTAAGTGTCATGATTTTATATTTTTAGATTTTTAAGAAGAAACGAGTTTTGCAAGCTATGTAAATGGATACAGGGTTGTTGATCTGTTGGCTGTTCGTCTGCTTTGGTTGGTTACTAAATTGACTAAACTAGTGGAGTCTTCTTTGGGGATTTTTTGGGTTTGAGGTCCAGTACTGGATCTTTTATGCAAATATGAAGTCATGTACCTTTGAGGATCCAAATTCAGGTCTAATTCTGTTATTTAAATAACAAATCAACAGCTTATGCTGAATCTACAGTCAATATCCCTAATGAGCTATTTATAGCACCTAAAAGTCACTCGACCAACTCTGTCAGACTAAAATACTTGAAAAGAATTCTTCGAACTTGTTGGAGTCGTGTCTTCGGTCAATATTTTATGAAACCATGCCAAATCTACATATCATAACATGCATGCATCGAAAAAAGAACTGTAATTCACGCGATTAAACATGAAAAAGTCGCTTGTACGGACGGGAACACACCCAAAAATAATAATATTTAGTGTGAATAGAGGTGTGTTCGTGCGATGCGACAATTTGATGTCATTTAGCATACTACATGAAAATTTGTTGATTAAATTGAATTGAGTTCATGAGCATTTGACTTCTATTATTGCAGGTTTTTATTCACAACGGACACCTTTTACTAATTCATGATACATCTGATAAAGCTACTGATATATTGCCAATTTATGACTCCTTAAGGAAAATAAGAGAAAATCCGACAAAGTATGTCGTGTCCAAGGATGTTGAGAACTGCATAATGAAGAGAATTGAAGATTTTCCACAAGCAATTGACGACAATCTCCATCGTCAGACTGTTTTCGTACCGTTAGCTGTTGCAGCACTTTTACAACATAATCCACAACTAATTGCACCTGCAGTTCAGGCATTCTGTAATCGTGATCCAATTGATATGAAAGCATGTCGTGCAATGAGATATTTTCCACCCGAGAATCGAGTATACACAAGTGTATTGTTTACAAAATGTCTATATGCGATGATTATGCATACTAATTACCTACCCGACCGACGAACTGGGTGGAATATTCCATTAATGACAAGTCCACATTATAAGGCACATTTATTGGGTGTCAAAATTGCTTGTGGATTTGAAATTCTCACATCACAAGCTAAATCATCTAAAAGTGACCTCGAGACAGACAGAGAGTGGCAAAAGTATCTTGACAGCCTTAAAAATAAGAATTACTTCCAAAATGAAATTGAAGGATCAAAAAAATACCAAGAACTGCTTGAACAGGCAAAAGATTACTACAAAGAGAATCGAGATTCAATGAAAAGCACTTACCAAATTGGTGATGATATTCTTCGTGATATGAAGCACATTGATATGAATTTGGATCAATTTAAGGATTTAGAAAAATCCCTTCCACACTCTGACAGTGATAGCTGGTTAAACATATCACCGGAAGACCTTGATGAGATGCTTACAAAACGTTACGGAATACGAAATCTGCTTGATAAGAATTTGAACGAAGGTGATGGACAGTTGACAGACATGCTTGATAATTTCCTCGGACAAAAGAGTGATTACGATGGCATTGATATCTCATTCTCGAGTAGTAGTAATCATGTTGAAACAAAGACGTCTGATATGGCAGCAGTGAATGTTGCTAGCAATTCAAAATCCAAAAAAATTGATTTTGATGCTGATGCATTTTGCTCGACTGTACAAAATCTCCTTGATCTTGTTATTCCCGAGGATAATTGGGATTCTCAGAGCGATATGAGTGACTATGAGAATGATGATGATTTACTGGCTAAAAATATTGATGAAATATCCAAAAATCGTCACGTAAAGGGACGCAAGAAGAAGCAACAACAACAATCTGATGAAAAGAAGTCGACTATGGACGATTATATGAAGCAAATGGATCGTGAATTGGCACAAACAACAATTGGTAAAAGTTTTGAAAAGAAGACGAATGAATTCGATGATATTGAGGACTTCCAGCCAGTTGACGTAGACATGAATGCTGTTAAGAATATGATGGAATCTTACAAGTTACAAGGCGCTTCCGCGGGACCCACAACTAATTTATTGACATCAATCATGGGAAGTAGTAAAAAGCAAACTGATGTTTAAGAGCTTTAAGAACCTTTTTGCCTCCCTTTTTTTACGACTTCATATATCGCACGTATACATTATATTAGTGGCTGCTTTTTTACTATTCACCGCATATTGTTAAACTTTAATATAAGGAAAAAGTAGTAAAATAATTTATGGATGTGAGTGAGGTTGTTGTTTTAGCGCATTTTTTGGTTGCTTCTTCAAGATTTAGATAATTAATGGCACACGGTCGAAAATGGGAAATATTTCTATTAAACACGAGCAGATTACATTATTAAATGGATTACATTATTAGGGATCAAAATATGGTAAATAACTTCAAGCTCAAATCACGAAGTATTAAGCTTTAATATTTGATCTTGAAACTTTGGAATTTTATTTTGAATATTTGGTAGAAAAAGGAAAGATTCCAACAACTTATCCTGAGCGAGAATCGAACTTACGCTCTTACAATTTCTAATGGAATCTATGCTCTTGCCACTGAACTATCGAGGATAGCTTCTAATTTTGACAGAATGTCAACTTAAACTACTGATTAAATCAGAACAATGTATTTTCAATCAATTGCAATGATAATGTCTTAATCTGAAAAACAGAAGCTTAATAAAGATCAGTAGCATAATAGATCTTTTAAACAGGTCCTTAACAAATAGCAAACCAAATTGACATCTCCGATGTATTTTAAGAATACTCATTTAAAAAGAAATCTCCTAATGCAAAATGTTCAATTATTAAATGGTTCCTAAAAGTACTAAGAACAAAAAGACAAAATTGTAAGAGCACAAATCCACATAACCTAAAATTTGAGTAGCTCAAATAAATCTTAGATTCAAAAATTATTGTAAAACAAGCTTAGATGATAAGTCAAAATGACACAAAAGCACTTTGCACACCAAAAACTCGCTAAAACATCATGAAAAGCTAGAATGACAAACACAAAATGAACACATTTCCTTATGTATGAGCTATAAAATAGCACAAAAGCTCAAAAAAGTGAGCCTTGAAAGTTTCTCGATGAAGAACTGCTTTAATTTTAAATCTCATTAAGACTATTTCATTCCGTGTGACGTGTGAAATGAAAGCTCTGGCATCAATTTACATAATCATGCCATCATCATTATTTCGCAAGTTCCGCCACTTCAAGACACAAACTTTTCTTTCCCATTTCATGACAATTCGATGAAGACACAAACAAACAAAAAAGTAATTGAATAAAATTGTAGTGAATTAAAGTTTTTCAATTTCTCTCCCCCAAATTCTCCTCGTCTTTTATTGGTCTAACAATTGTTGCTGAATGTTGTTAAGTACCAAAAGATTTACGAGTTGCCCATCAAATCAAATGGAAAAACGAACGGAATAAGAAGAAGAAAGGAAAAGTTTATTGGAAAATTTTCTCTCTTTTCTTTTGTTTCCTCCTTTTCATGCTTGTTCCTCACGCTCAAAATAGACAAGTGATGTACGTAGTACATAATGAAAGCACGGATGAACGATTGAAAAATATATTTTTTTTTTTGGGTTAAATTAAAAGGATTTGAACTTTTTTTCGTAGGCCTTTTCTTTAATAATTATTAGCGATCTTGCCCTAAAGATATTAATTAATGAGATTTATGTTAAGTTTCGATAATTGCTTATGATTCATTTTGTCATGTTTGTAAGGAACGATAATAGCCAGTGAAAACGAATTATTTAATACTTATAAGTTCGACCAAGCAGCATAAATATGGAATGACAGCTTTCTTATTTGTCACTTTCCATAATTGGCAAGGATTTTGGCAGCTGGTCAACTATCATTAATTATTTATGCTGTTTTCGAGATATATATCGATATTATTTTCATTTATTTTGACACACAATTACAGGGGGTATGGATATAAATTTTCTACAATAGTTACCATCTTGTATTCCACTCAAATTTTTATAATAAATAAAAAATGATTTTTTAAGCCCAAAGCTTTTTTTGAGGTTATTTTAAATTATTGTTGATTTTATAAACTTAGTTTTTGGATTCCTTAAATAGCTCAGTTGATGGTTTAAGGAGCTTGATGACACAACGATATAGTCCGAAATGACACTGCATCGAAGGATGAGCAAATTCAGCAGAATACAGGCTCCTTACAGGATTAATCGCAATCTTAGCACAATAGACCTACATACAGTACATTGCAAGGTTTCTTCAAGGCGTGCACACTTAAAGAACTTGCGGAGGTTTCCCAAAAATGTATAGGAACTTGCCGAAGTTTTTGTTTTTAGAATTTTAATGCACAGGACATGATAATATAATCCGACTGAAGTGTACGCTTTGGGTTCCTCAATGGTAAAGAATGAGACCAAGACTAAGAATTCACAAGAAAGCTTGGTTAAGGTCTTAAAATTAACAACCTTTACAAGAATTAAGAACATCTCATACATCTACGCCTAATAGAAGAGTAAAGCGATCTACTTATTTAAATCGAAGTTACTAAGAGATACATAAAAACAGAACTAATGTTCTCGATCCAAACATCATAAGCATAAACAAGATTTACATCCTTTTGGCATAGAAACCACGTCAAGGTAGAACAAAAGAAGCACCAAAACAGGCGTTTTGGTTTATCGCCTAGGAAATTAAAAAGAAACCCAAACTTAAGCTTTTTTTTTCTCGTCTTTTAATCAATCTCGCCTTAACCACAGGAAAATTGCTCACGATAATTTAATTGAAGCTTTCAAGGCATCTCTATCCACACAACGATTATTTTTTCTTTTCCGCTACACATTTCAGATTGTATTAAAAAAAGGAGAAGTAATTTTATGATGAGGGTCAGTTATTTGTGTTGTGGAGTAAAGTGGTTTATTTTCATTTTCTGTCATGGACAACAAACGGTAAATAGAGTAGAAAAAGAGATGATAGAACCAAAGGCATGCTGCTTTCTATACTATACGTAAATAAAATGGAAAATGGCACGGAACGATCATTATTGATTATTGAATGCGACACATAAGCAATAAATCAGATTGGTGAGAGGTGGCTGTGATGGAAGAGGAATGAGACCCGAACGACCCTTTCCTATTATAGGCTATGAACCCAATTTGCCTTTTTTCAGTTTCATTCTATCTTTCCATTTTCCATCTGCCACATTATATGTATATCACACATACAATAATCAAAATGATGTGTGTCCATGTGAAAAACAATTTTCTGATGCGATGAAGGAAGAATGGAGATTGATAAGATGTCCTATGGCTGATTGGAACGCATCTGTAGAAAGATACAGTTTAGTTCATTCATAGTTATAGCTTAAATAAAGCACAGATTCAGCTCAGCTCAAGCATAGATTAAGCTTAGTTCAAGCACAGATTCAGCTCAGCTCAAGCACAGATTCAGCTCAGCTCAAGCACAGATTAAGCTCAGCTCAAGCATAGATTCAGCTCGGCTGAAGCACAGATTAAGCTCAGCTCAAGCACAGATTAAGCTCAGCTCAAGCACAGATTGAGCTCAGCTCAAGCACAGATTCAGCTCAGCTCAAGCACAGATTCAGCTCAGCTCAAGCAAAGATTGAGCTCAGCTCAAGCACAGATTGAGCTCAGCTCAAGCACAGATTGAGCTCAGCTCAAGCACAGATTGAGCTCAGCTCAAGCACAGATTGAGCTCAGTTCAAGCACAGATTGAGCTCAGCTCAAGCATAGATTGAGCTCAGCTTAAGCACAGATTGAGCTCAGCTCAAGCACAGATTGAGCTCAGCTCAAGCACAGATTCAGCTCAGCTCAAGCACAAATTCAGCTCAGCTCAAGCACAGATTCAGCTCAGTTCAAGCACAGATTGAGCTCAGCTCAAGCATAGATTGAATTCAGTTCAGGAAGTTTAAGACCCGCTCAATCTTAGATTAGCCTTTTCCTTCTCAATCAAGCATTCAGCTAAGCAAATACACAGCTAAATAAATGCTCACATAAATATTCAGCTCTCAAAGAAAGAAACATTTCCTTGTGTATATCCAACAGCACAGCCAAAACCATAATAAATAGCCCATTCATCTTCCAAAAATATGCTCAAAAAGTGGAGAATGAGAAGAGGCAAGAAAAAAAAACTTTTACATCCATAGCCGAAATGTGAGTCGAAAGAAAAGCGTAAAGGAAAAGAAAGTTTAGTGGATGAAAGATTTGTAAAAAGGATGTCGGAATGTGTGCTGGTTATTTGACCCAACCGAGACCAATAAATTTTTCTCCGTACTTTCTCCATCCTCCAATCTAGACTTTCTCCTTATAAGCTTTCTCATTAACCATTCTACAAACATATCTGGCACATATGTTTTCCTTACTGTAACTTACTTTTGCTGTCGTGATTTTTGTTTTCTTTGATGTTCCTTAAATTCATAAAAGTAATGCTGCAATTTTTCCCTTTTTATGCCGCATGAGGAAACTGCTGAGTGTATGGGATTGAAAATCAAATTTTTTGAATAAAGGATGAAGGAAGGAGGAAGTAGAAAAAAAAAAGATTTTATTTTCCGAACACCGAGATTGATTTTCTCTCGTCTGTTGTGGTTCATTTAGTTCAAATGGAAAATGTTTTTATGTGTGAAAAATTGCAAGGCATTCAATAGCTTTACGTCCTCAGTTGGCATTATCGATCTCGCATTTTTCACTTTCTCCATTTTGCCTTCCTCTTTTTTTACATTTTTATTTGTAAATCAAAAAAGCAATTTTTTTTCAATCACAGATTTCCTGTAATCGATGTACTTTCTTTCTTATGCTTTCAATTGGAATAAAAAGTTCTCATCTCGTCGTTCTTCTTTTCTTATTCATTTCTTTTATATTCTCGTGTTGCTCATTCTCTCTGCCTTCTCAATTGCCACAATAAAAATCGCTTTTTACACATGAGGAAAAGTCTTACAGATTAGGGTCAGAATGGTCACGCCGGAAACGCATCAAACGATTCGTAAAAAATTATAGACCATTTCGAGTATTTCACAGTGAAAAGCTACGAAGAAGATGGGTAATTATGGTCAATTTGGCTGGATAGATGAGGGTTATTGTCATAAATTGGATGTTTAAGCGTTTTAAAGATAAATATTTAGGGGAATGAGCCAGGATGCTTGCATTTTGTCAGTAAATTAATGATTTGATCTACACTTGTCGGCAAATTGAAACCAAAAAACTAAAGATGTGACAAGATACTAGTTTGGTGTTATTAGCAATGTGAATCTGGTTTTTAAACCAATATTTCAAAACAGTTGATCTCTCCTTGCTTTGACCTAACCTCAACTGAGAGAAAGACAACAAGGAAAATCTCGTCAATTCTAATAGAAATTTTTCTTTCTAAGTTGTCTTCCTGCCGACCTCAAAGTGATACTAGGTTTTTCCATCTGTTATATCTAGGTAATATACAACATGACTGTGAAGTCTGAGTCTAAGGCAGTGTTGTTCATACTATGTGGTGTTCATACTATGCGGAGGACATCCTTATGTGTGTCGTGAAAAAATATCTAAAGTAAAAGTATGCCGTGGCTGAAAAAAGTTTGGACAACACTGAACTAAGGGAAATCAACTAGCACAAGTCGGTTAGTCGAATATAAATCTTGTGCTAAGCTGGATTCTAGAGTCATGGTGCTGATTTCGATTTAAATGAAGCACCATGTCAGAGACACACCGGCTTAATGCCAGATTTCTGATCAATTAACCAACTTGTGCCATTCGAGAATTGGTTATGTTGCAGGATTGAGGGCATTTCTCAGGTTCAATCAAATTCAAGGGTGTGGTACTGATGAAATGATCAAAAATGATCAACATTGATCAAATTGAAGAAATAATTTCTCTTGGATGTTGATTGATCCTGTTTTGGCAACGCTCTTTTAGTTTCCTTACTTGGTTCTAATCTTAATATTTTGTTCTTATCTTTTAAATTGTTTCCTATTTTTATGTCAAGAAATAGAAAATCTCAATTCACACGACAAAAACTAAGGCTTCCGCAATTCTTTATCATTTTCTCAAAATTGTATTACAATTTTCTATTCGATTACATTCAATAATCTATATCAAGTGCCTTTTTATTCAGAAAGCTTCTAAAACCCTCTGGCTATTAAGAGATCATTCGTAAATGATGTCCAATTTTGAAAGGGGTCTGACACTACAATACAAAAGTGGAGGGAGAAATCTTACTTTATCATAAACATCATTAATGAACTAGCTACTTACTAAGAGCTAATCACCAAAAAACAGCGCCATTGTCACTTCCAAACTATGGCTATAAAAATGTTCCAATCATTTCCTCTGCTCATTCTGTCGTACTTTATTGTACGAAAGAAATTTTCTTTATGATATAAATGAGGAAATTATTTTATAGGACATTTTATGAGCTATCACTCCATCATATTTAAAAAGGACATATTTCAATGTAATAAATTTATTGCGTAGAATTTTTTTCAACTTCATTCAAGCGGCATGGATTGCATATTGTACATTTTTATCACGAATTTTTATGTTTTTGTGATTAATTGTGAGCTTGTGGTGTGACTTACAGTGAAACAATGAGCAATAGAAATATTAACGGTTGGATAAATCCAACATAATGATAATTTCTATGGGTGTGGAATGACTAAAAATTTAATTAAAGCATTGTTAGAGTCATAATTTCGATGACAGTTTCATTTAATTGAATGATTCAACCTTTTAAATTTAATTAAAGCTTGTTAATTAACAGGAAAAAAAATCTGTTCTTATTTAACTCATTGTTTTGACTGAAAAGATTTTTTTTCCACCAAAATGAACGGGTTTGAATGACTTACTTCCTTTGACAAAATTTCACCCGAAAAAAAATCGTTGTCGGTTTGAATTTGAAACTCAATTGTCATTTGACATTAAACAATGGCAAAATTTAGATGGAATAAATTCACATTGCTGCGGTTACAGACGATAAAAATTTGGCTTCGTGCCTAAAGCTGTTATTTTGAATTTGAATCATTTTGAACTTATTGCTT